CTGACAGTTATCGCCGTTTCTTCCGTGTTATTTCTGAAATCTGAGAGTTTACATGTACTAATATTCTGACTTTGATTTTTGTGAAACAATGTGGCTCATTCAGGCCATGGGAAAGGTTGAGTAGATTTCTCTTATACAGCGAAGAGAGGGAATCAAAACAATGGAAGTATTTTCAGAAAAGATCGACTCTCTGTAGGCTGCTAGTTATAGCCCTAGTCTAAATGCTCAATGATGTTGTGAAAAATTGTATTTTCGGGAAGAGACAGAAGTATATTTGATGTTCCCGAAAAGGCCCAATTAGCACTGACTGAAGTAACCTAAATGTGAATCATCTGGTTGTTGGTGCTGTCTATAAAGTTTATTTGAGCAAGGCGCTTATCATGTGTATTTTTAATATTTCCAAAAAAAAGAATCAATTGATCATTTTCCGATAACTAAATCTATGTCCGACTCCCTTCTAATGAAAACGAGCAAAAGTAAAACGAGTCTCGTCGCGCGCTATAACGGGGTGTTTGCGGTATTGTTCTCGCTGGTGATGATAAGCTAGTCGATAATCAAAAGTTGAATATCACCATACATTGTCAGTGATTTGGTCATCGTTTGTTGATTTTTAAGGTGAGATAGGTGTAGATCTAGTCAATGTGCACCAATGAAAAATACAATGGAATTGATAGCCACCATATTCGTTCGGTTTTCGATCTCCGTATGTTGCCAGGTAGGCTACCATACTACAGAATTATATTTAACGATATTGAACTGTATTATGTTAATAAACGTAGTAAGTATATGATACTTGGTTCTCTGAAACGTTTTGGCAATGAGAGAGAATAAAATGGTGATCGAAAACTGAACGAGTAAGTTCCAGTGCTAGCTACGAAATCGTACTGTAGCTAGATCTATATAAACAACGCTGCGATGAAGATGTGAGTCGTTATTAGCTACAATGCCTGTCAAATATATCTGTTCCCGTTTGGATTCCGGTTTAGAAAAGGTCCCCAACAAACCATGTTTGTACTAACATGATTGTGTGTCATTGTACTCTGACAGAGGTTGTGAGACGTGGCTCACTATAACAATCACTGGTTTGTCAGACCGGTGTATATGTAAAACCAAATTACATTAGGTGTGTTTTTTTTATGGTACTCATAATTTTGTTACTTATATCTGAAGCCTGAGTTTATTTCCGATCGGACCTTATACATGAAGACTTTAGATTTACAGTTTTCCTAAATTTTAGGCAATTATACAATGTATGTTATCTTTTTGTTTAGACTACAGATCTAAATGTATGCTTATTGAATATAGTTTTAGTTTTGACTTTTTTAATATGTTTTCGTTGCAGCAAGGGGGAAAATGTTACACGACCATTCCAGGAGATAAAATCAAGAATGTTGAATCATTGAGGAACACACCAAATAAACCCTGGGCTGTGAATTATGTTAACGTAAGTACAATTGTTTACGGTTACATTCCATTGTCTATATCCATGTTAATTGGTGGGGTTTTTTTTGCTTGAAATGAATGCTAAGAATGTAGATCTATTTATATAAATCTATGCTCGTACCACGTTTTGTATTCAACCAGATTCTTGGTCTCTGAATGAATGTTAAAATTTGTTTCCATCAGTCACTTGAATTATACATTATAGTTTGAATATTGATAAAACCTTATCTCCAAATGAATGTTTCTCGTCATATGAAATCTTTCATATTCCTGCTCGAGATTTAATTAAGCTGTTTGTATTTCAGGGAAGTGGAAGTGAACACCAAAGAAAGAAGATTCTGGCATTCAATAATTTCGAAAAGTGTATACATTTTCTATAATCTAAAAATAATAAAATGTCAACGCAAATGTGTCTCGGAGTTCTTTGTTGAATGGTGACTTCGCATGACTGAAAGTTGAAGTATACTATATGGACTTGATTAGAGACCGACCATTTAATATTCAAGGAGGTCGGGACCTGGAACTTTTCTATGGAGATTACATATGTTTTCGGTCACAGCTACAAAAGCAGATATATGATTTTCTTTAACTCTATAAGCCTGAAGATAAGCACCTTGCATCTAGATCTATGTCATTTTTTTGTGGCAGGCATTTTTTTCACCAGTCTGAACCGTAATTATTTTTGTCAAGAATTTTCGGTGACAATATATTTTTTCGATAATATTCCACGACCCGGCCCTCCCCAGAAAATATCACATGGTCAACCCCTGACAATGTCTGCCATTCTTTTTTTTTGTTTCTTTCAGTACAAGCCTAAAGGGTAATTGTGTCTGACTTTGTTATAGTCAAATCATGTATCTAGTTAACAGCTCAGTGGTGTTTTTACATTTTGAACATTGTTAGCAAAACACAATCACTGTTAACCGGGCTATTCGACGCTCTGGTTTTAAAATATTGGTAAAAGGTATCTCGAATCATACACATTCACGTGACTAAAGCATATTCTAAAACATTTCTGGAACAAGTTTTGGGGTTGTTTTTACAACATTTTAGTGTGGAATGGTCACAACCGTATTTCATCCTTGTAACACAAAGTTATTTCACGTCGTTGTGACAACGTCCATGCTAGTACACAGAAAAACGTTGTAGGGACGCATTATTATAACATTGCCAAAACGTAAAGTACAACTTAACCACAACGTCAAATACAACGTTCCCTCAACGTAAAAATACAACGTTCCCACAACGTAAAATACAACGTCATCACAACGTTGTGACGACGTGAATATGACGTAACACAACGTTAGGCCATGACGTTGTGACAACATAAATGGGAGTCCACAGAATAACGTTATATGGACGTAACATCCGCAACGTTACCACAACGTAAACACGACGTTATCACAACGTTCCCACAACGTAAAATACAACGTCATAACAACGTTGTGACGACGTGAATATGACGTAACACAACGTTAGGCCATGACGTTGTGACAACATAAATGGGAGTCCACAGAATAACGTTATATGGACGTAACATCCGCAACGTTGCCACAACGTAAACACAACGTTGTCACGACGTTGTCACAACGTGAAATTGTTAGCTGGGTTTCTCCTGGTGATGAAAATGGACTTTCGCTCTTATTTTACACTTGTACACGTGTGTGCATTAGGGTGTGCATGCATGTGTAGATGACCCCATATCAGCTAAAGTGGGTCCATATATTTTCTTTTGATCTTGGGTCTTGGGCGGGACATGCAAACGGTTTAACCACTGTGGTTTTGTATCGAGATTTATATATTTGTTCAGCTTCAGCTACAAAACCAGATATTGTTCTTCTTTACAACGTTCTTTCAAAGTAAACACAATGTAATTTTTATGGCAGGCAATTTTTTCTCAAGTTTGAAGCATAATTATTAGTTTCAATAAAATAAAAATTTTCGATTATATGATTATTACATTCATTCCTTACTAAACTCGAATAAAGATACATTTTAATCATTCTGGTTTTGCTAGCTCTGACTAAGACCATTATGATATATTTCTTAATTAAAATATATGCAGAGATGTAATTGCATGTAAACCAGATGTCATGTTTTTTTTGTTGCACAATGTTGATATATGCAACAAAACAATAAAATTAACAAAAGAAGAAATTCTGATTTCTGTTTTAAAGGAATATAATTGGGTAACTCCAAAGGCAAAATAACAATTTAATAAGTCATTGGTAGTGGTATACTGTCGTGTTATTGATACTGGCAGAGTGCTGTGTTATTGGTTGTGATATAAGGTGTTGTGTTGTTGGTAGTCCAAGCCTTGTGTGACACAGTGTTGTGTTATGGGTGGTGGTGTGTGTTGTTGTATTATTGGTAGTGGCGAAGTGTTGTGTTACTTGTAGTGGTATAGTATTGTGTTATTGATAGTGGTATAGTGTTGTGTTATCGATAGTGGTACAGCGTTGTGTTATTGGTTGTGGTATTATGTTGTTATTGGTAGTGGTATGGTGTTGTGTTATTGATTGTGGTATTATGTTGTTATTTATAGTGGTATAGTGATGTGTTATTGGTAGTGGTATAGTGTTGTGTTATTGGTTGTGGTATAGTGTTGTTATTGGTTGTGGTAAAGTGGTGTGTTATGGGTAGTGTTATTGTGTTGTGTTACTGATATTGGCACAGTCTTGTTATATTGATAGTGGCATAGTGTTGTGTTATTGGTAGTGGCAAAGTGTTGTAAGTGATATTGATAGTGTTAGGTTTCTTTTGTTCACATACTTGAATTACGACTACAGTATGTTTTTGGATTGTAGGCATGACATACACTCATCCTTAGTATTGTGCTGTTTTCAAGTCAACATATCACTAAATTAGTATTTCTTCAAATTGAGTTAACTGTTTACTAGTAATCTGATGATAAATACTGTTATCTCAATTATATAGATGTTGTTCTTTCTTGGCGAGTTTTTAATATTTCCAAAATAGTGTAAATTCGATTATTTCTCAAGATGTGCGGATAACATATATGTGTCGGTATTTTGAAAAAGAAAAATATCGCAAATCATTGACATATCATTCTCTGAATGTATGACAGGTGCCCCCTGTCAATCGCTCACGAAAGTAGTCCACAATTATCTCCCCTTCTACAGTGGCAATGTGCGCGATGATATGACGTCATTATCAGATAGATTCCCGCCATCTTTCTTTTATTCTTTCTACTTTGTGTTTCTGAGAACCTTATGTGTATCACGTCAGACGTGTTTAACAATACGACTTCTTAAGTACGTTTTGGGAACTTCATATATCCAAAGAGTTACCAATTTACGTGTTATTAAGAACCGGATGTGACACACAACACATGGAATTGGTCGTCATGACAATCCGCCCAACAATATAGTTCTAAGGTGAGTTCAGGTACGTGTCTTTTTTTCCGGGCACATTACTCCATAAAGTATTCGAATGTTGTAAACTAACTTTGTTGTATTATACGGTTTCGTAATAAATCTTTTCCGATTTAAAATATGAATCGCAAAGGAAATTTGACACCAATTGACATGCGCAAGGATCGCCATATTGGAAATAGCTATAAATACCATCGTAATTTCCATTCCCTAAAATAGCACAAGTTGTAGATTTTTCACTGAGCAACATTTTACTGGACACTAAAAATAGACACCGCACGGATATTTTTGCTCATCTCGTGGTATTGTTTTGGTAAGATTGATGGAAACTTAGTCGAAATGGTGTTGTGTAAAGTTGTCGGGCTTTCCGAGGAAAAATGGCTTCGTACTTTGAGGAGGAATTTGAGTCGCCAAGCCGCTGTGTTCGCTTCTCGACTATGCCGTCTCCCATGTCGTTTTCGTATGCTTCCCTTCGTGTTGTTGATGTCATGTGCTGTCACGAATCACTTTGACAACCTTTTCAATGCCTTCATTTCTCTGTTCTGACAGATCATCATCAAATTGTGTCACCAAGAAGTTTGAAGTTTACAGGCACAGACCTTGACATATTTGGCTACTTCTCTGCTTGGGTGAGTTTGTAGGGTTTTAACTCCGTTTCGGAGACCACAGTCTTTAAGATACGTAAGGCGTCAATGTCAGTTACCTATATATTTCAGTTCCAAAGCATGCTACACTGACCAGGAAAAAACACTTTTCATTGTTGATTTTGTCAGCTATCAGCAAACTTTGTATAGAAATTCCTAGGTCATATTTACATTAAAGGGCAAGTGTACACGAAAATGAACCTATTTTTTTGGTACTTTTTCAACATTAAAAGTGTTAACCTAGTAGAGTCATAGACAAAAATATAAAAATATCACAATTAATTAACATATTTTTTTCATTAAAACGATTTATATTTTTCACATTTACCAAGTGTTCTATTTCCATAACAAAAACACCATGGCTTATGCCCCTTGCAATATGACGTCATTGGTGCCAATTGATAAACAGTATGACGTCATCAAGCTTTGTTAGAGCGGCTTCACGTGGTGTATGTACAAGTGTGTGATTCTAGCGTCTCAGGTGCGCAGCCTACTGATTTGAACATGGTATACTGTATGGCTTTACAATTTCTGTCTGGTCAAACGAAAATTCTTCACTATCAGACGATGAGCTGGACTCGTAGGCCATGTTGTTTTACCGTAAACTGGTACTTGATATATTTTGCGCTGAGAATAGACAGGAACCCAGTTGAATTGGCACCAATTACGTCATAATCTAAGGGGGGTAACTCAGGCCTGTTTAGCTCGCAAATCGAACGCCTCACAACGGCATTTCATTTTCACACTATTGTGAGCTTCCTACTTTCACTGTGAAAAAGATGAGTGTATATTTTCAAACACAGACACTAATTAATTCTAAAATTGCGTTTTGTTTAGAAAAAGAAAGAAAGTGATTTTTGCGTGTACACTTGCCCTTTAAGCTGCTTATATAAGTGTGTTACGTGGAGATATCTCCCCAATCATTGATATCTATATTATGTGTTTAAAGTCTAGCCTCCTGATGTAGATTTTATTTACACATTTTATTGACAGATGTATCCTCTTGGATGACCTTAATTCCCCAAAGTTTGGACTATCGTCTCATTGATTATTGATGGGATGGTGACAACTGCACCTTGACAATCAATCCTATCTAAATCAATATACCCCAAACAGGTGAAGTGAATCTGCAAAGTAAGACAGATATGATGTACATGTTAGGTTCTAAATGATACAGGTTTGCAGACAATTACATTTTATGTAGTGTAGCTACCATATAAAAACCAGCAAATAGTTTGTTTGTTGTTTAACGTTGCACTCCGCAATATTCCAGCTATATAACAGCGGTCTGTAAATAATCGAGTCTGGACCAGATAATTCAGTGATTGACATCGTGAGCATCAATCCAGACATTTGGGATACGATGACATGCATCAACCAAGTCAGCGAGCCTGACTACCCAATCCTGTTAGTCGCATGTTACGACAAGCATAGTCACCTTTTACGGCAAGCATGGGTTGCTGAAGACCTATTGTAGCCCGGATCTTCATGGGTCACCAGCAAATAGAGTTAAATGACATGTTTTGTGTTTTAAGGTTAAACTAAAAATCATGATATGCATCTGCATTATCAAAACATCAATAGATCATTCCAGAAAGACAACATCCAATGTGAATATCAACTTCATCATCACTAACAGTCAACTTCAGCTATTAGTCACTGTCTGATGACCAAGTCTAGTAACATTCTGTTTGGTCTAGTAAGCTCAGCTAATACTAGTCCATATGATAACACTGAAATCTTCTGAACAGTGGTGGTAAGAGCCACGTTTGGGCTAGTAGATTCAACAGCTTTTGGCACAGACTACTTATGTTTTCGCCAAATGATGAAAAGTGACATGTTCAAACTAGTGACCCAAAAAGGTTTTGGACACAGATTGTAATCTGACATTAAAAGTAATATTCCAAGATCAATGCACATAAGTAAACATAAGTGCCATCTGCACAATCAATACTGCTTCATCACACCTTAATTTGTACAACATTGTTGTCTCTTTCTGTATTAACTTCTTTCACTTTGTCTAAAGTTGATGTATTCACGAATGCCTGTATATGAAAGATCCAGGTGGAGAATAAGTCTTCAGCAACCCATGCTTGTTGTCTGAGGCGACTAACGGGATCGGGTGGTCAGACTTGCTCACCTGGCTGATGCATGTCATTACATCCCAATTGTGTAGATCCATGGTCCAGACTTGATTGTGTACAGACTGCCGTCATGTAGCTGGAGTATTGTGGACTGCGACGTTAAACAACAAACACAAAATAAAAACAAAAGATAATGAAATATGGTAATGAATTATAACCATGAAGGTTGTTGCATTCTTGCATGAGTGCAATATGACTCTAACCTTCTACCTGTCACATTTTACATACATTCATCCTAAATATTTCAAAGATTTGCGTACATTACATCACTTGTAAAACATTTGACCACTTTACAGTGTAGTCACTATTTTTAACCAGTCAATGTCCTAGTACCATCAAGTGGGTAATCAGCGACTGCTCAGACCAGTGAGTGCTCAGATAACATCCCACCTTATGGGTGAAAAATCACATTTTGACTTTTCATGATATTTTCAAACTACAGCATTTTCAGAACTAAACAATACAATTCACAAGCTTTAAGTTCAAATATTTATTACAGTGATACATGACATCACATGCCCTTCTCTGAAGTGAGTTGACTTTAAACGTCTTTAACATCAAAACACAATTGTCTCCTAGCACCCATAGGGCCCCTTTTCTTCCTGTTGGGTCAAAATTGTCATGCGACATGTGTCAGACTTTCAGCCATCAGCCATGTCTACTCGACACATTGTTTTATAATACTTTGACTTTAAGTACAAAACATCACAATGACCAACACAATGATTGCTATGGGAGAGATTTCCAAAGTGTTCTTACTGTACGAGTGGCAATTAGGTGTTATTGTTACTGGTACGTGACCACCAGGATTTTACTTGGTAGTGGGACGATGCATCGATGAATTTGTTAAGGACAAATCTTCGTAAGAGGTGACTAACAGGATCAGTGATCAGGTTCACTTACTTGGTTGATGCATGTCATTGTGTCCCAAATGAATGGATCGTTGCTCATGACGTCAATCACTGGATTGTCTGGTCCAGTCTTGATTATTTATAGACCACCGTCCCATAGCTGGAATATTGCTGTGTGCAGCGTTAAACAACAAGCAAACAAAATGAGGACAAATCTGGACCAACCCTGTATTATTGCTGTCTTCTCCTTTTCTAATATTTCTTATATATATTCCAAGCAAAACATGTCTAGGTAAGGGATTACTAAGAACAGGCCTGAATTTATTTGTGCTATGGAATTCGGAGGGTTTGTCCATTAATTTAGAAGTAATCTGGCAGTGATTGCATCATTTCTAGAAGAAAATCTTGTGAAAAATTTAGGAACACCAAAGTGTGTTGTTCATTAAAGGTGTCTTAAGATATTACTAACAATGGTTCTGAATTTACTTGAGCTATTGAATTTGCAGGGTTTGCCCAGGAATGGGGAAGTTGTCGGGCAGTAATTATATCATTTTTGGAAGAAAATGTTGTAAAAACTTATAAATATTAAAGTGTGTTCATATACTTATGAATGTCAGTTTAACTGTCATGTGACATGGAATGCTGTAAACTTTGTAAAAGCTTTGTAATGAATATACTCGCTGATACCTGTGCCATCCTACTAATTTACAATTGGAAAATTGCCAACCAAACTTAACTGAATGGCTTCCATGTTGAAAACTAGGCCAATCTAATTACTTGCTTAATTTTTTTACAGATCCTCTTTTCAGAGTTGATCATGTTTATTGCTTGAGATCATACCAAATGAGTCTTCAGTGATGGTTTGCAAAATGCCTAACATGGTCTTATGGTGTTAACAACAAACAAATATGATAGAGAAGTTGTGATGAGATTGTGAAGCAAAATTAAACAATGTAACCATAGTCTAATCAGTCTGTTATCTATGGATTGACAAGAAGAGTAAACAAAATTCAAGTAGAGTTTCTTCACAGATTCAGCAGGGTTCGGTACATTGTAGTACCTTGTTTCGCTTTCATATTCTTGAGCTGTGAGCAGACGTGACAGTACATATTCAAGTAGAGTTTCTTCACAGATTCAGCAGGGTTCGGTACATTGTAGTACCTTGTTTCGCTTTCATATTCTTGAGCTGTGAGCAGACGTGACAGTACATATTCAAGTAGAGTTTCTTCACAGATTCAGCAGGGTTCGGTACATTGTACGTTGTTTCGCTTTCATATTCTTGAGCTGTGAGCAGACGTGACAGTACATATTCAAGTAGAGTTTCTTCACAGATTCAGCAGGGTTCGGTACATTGTAGTACCTTGTTTCGCTTTCATATTCTTGAGCTGTGAGCAGACGTGACAGTACATATTCAAGTAGAGTTTCTTCACAGATTCAGCAGGGTTCGGTACATTGTACGTTGTTTCGCTTTCATATTCTTGAGCTGTGAGCAGACGTGACAGTACATATTCAAGTAGAGTTTCTTCACAGATTCAGCAGGGTTTGGTACATTGTACCTTGTTTCGCTTTCATATTCTTGAGCTGTGAGCAGACATGACAGTACATATTCAAGTAGAGTTTCTTCACAGATTCAGCAGGGTTCGGTACATTGTAGTACCTGGTTTCGCTTTCATATTCTTGAGCTGTGAGCAGACGTGACAGTACATATTCAAGTAGAGTTTCTTCACAGATTCAGCAGGGTTCGGTACATTGTAGTACCTTGTTTCGCTTTCATATTCTTGAGCTGTGAGCAGACGTGACAGTACATATTCAAGTAGAGTTTCTTCACAGATTCAGCAGGGTTTGGTACATTGTACGTTGTTTCGCTTTCATATTCTTGAGCTGTGAGCAGACGTGACAGTACATATTCAAGTAGAGTTTCTTCACAGATTCAGCAGGGTTCGGTACATTGTACGTTGTTTCGCTTTCATATTCTTGAGCTGTGAGCAGA